CTTAGTAAAACAGAATATTAAATGTTGAGTTGAAAAGAACAGTAGAAAACTGTCAGAAAATTACCAGTACGTTTTTCATTAAGTTTAACATGTCGGTCAAGGAAATGCATAATTCACAATACAGGTAAAACACCTGTGAATAATCAATACAGAAAAGAGTGTAGTTGATATTGAAATGAATGAGTGAATGAAGCATTTATGTAGCACTTTATTGTGTAATGCTGTACACCTAAAGCGCTTTACAATCATATGAAGGGGTCTCTCCTCATCCGCTCCACAAACATAAGTGGTTTCGCAGTATTTGTGTGTGCCACAGGTGTAAATGTTGCCAATACAAATGAAGTTGTTTGTCATGCAACTGGACATATTAAATCTGAGACAGACATAAAGAGAGATTTTGATGTGCAGGAACACGGATATGATGAGCAGATCTGAACTGATCACATTAACCGGATCAGACGTCTGATTAGTGATGAGTAATGGAGACCTGTCACGTTCACACACACCTGCGTCTGCGTCTCTGTGTCTCCGTGTGTGTGTGTGTGTGTGTGTGTCTGTCTCTGTGTGTGTGTGTGTGTGTGTGTGTGTGTCTCTGTGTGTCTCTGTATCTCTGTGTGTGTGTGTGTGTGAGAGAGTCAGCGGCTGCATTCTTCAATATGAGTAATCAATACAGAGGTTTGACCGCTGTGTCTCGCTACTTTTTCCATCGTCTTGAGCATTAGTGTGACATTTGTAAGACTAAGTTATTAGTGTAAATGTTCTTCATTTTTGTAACATTTGTCAAAGTTTCTTGCACCAAAAATAGCCATAATTTAGCTGCGGATCATCATTCATTAAAGCAGCTGGAGTTTCTGAATGCTGAATAGGCTTTATTATGCAAATAAGCGTGATCATGTTAATGAGCTCATGGTTGTGCATTTTTGGTTACATTTTAAAATAACATTTCATTTAACTTGAAGTATTATTAAATAGTATTTATTAACCTTTTTTAATTTCAACATTTACCAATGCATTTTTAAAATCAAAAGTCGTATCTGTTAATATTAATTAATGGACCTGAGTTACATGAACTAACAATGAAAAACTTGCCTAAAACTATTTATAATCTGAATTAATGTTAATTTCATCATTAACTAATATCAATGCTTTTGTCCCTCTTTAATTCACTTTATATAAAAGCATCTACTAAATGCATAAATGTAACTAAATGTAATGCTTTAATGTTTACTGATACAACCTCTGATTTTAATATTTATTGCACTTACATGAACAAACATAAATAGAGATGTATAAATGCTGTAAGAAATTTTTTGGTCATTGATAGTTCATGGGAGCTATTAAATAATAAAATTATTCAGTGTTGCTTCAAATACGTTTCAAAGATATTTAAACGAAGCCAGAAACGCTAGTTAAAATGTTTTTAATGACACAAGTCATTTTAAATACAATGTGCAAAGTTTTGCAATCACAGCTGGCAAATTAACCTGGAAATAAAATAAAATAAATTATAATAAAGTTTTCTCTTAGGGTTTGGTTACAGTCAGTATATATAACTAGCCGTCTATAAAAACAATAGAAGTCAATGAAATGTCTCCATGTAGACAAAGTAAATATGTGTGCAACATTACACAGGATTGTTGTGGTCTTAGACTGTGTGAGACAGCAGACGTTCCCTCAGGATCCTCTCATCAGACACGGGTCACAGTGTTTCAGCTCTGAAAGAGACACACACACACGTTTCCTTGTGGTGTGTGTGTGTGTCTGTGTGTCTCTGTGTGTGTGTGTGTGTGTGAGAGAGTCAGCGGCTGCATTCTTCAATATGAGTAATCAATACAGAGGTTTGACCGCTGTGTCTCGCTACTTTTTCCATCGTCTTGAGCATGAGTGTGACATTTGTAAGACTAAGTTATTAGTGTAAATGTTCTTCATTTTTGTAACATTTGTCAAAGTTTCTTGCACCAAAAATAGCCATAATTTAGCTGCGCATCATCATTCATTAAAGCAGCTGGAGTTTCTGAATGCTGAATAGGCTTTATTATGCAAATAAGCGTGATCATGTTAATGAGCTCATGGTTGTGCATTTTTTGGTTACATTTTAAAATAACATTTCATTTAACTTGAAGTATTATTAAATAGTATTTATTAACCTTTTTTAATTTCAACATTTACCAATGCATTTTTAAAATCAAAAGTCGTATCTGTTAATATTAATTAATGGACCTGAGTTACATGAACTAACAATGAAAAACTTGCCTAAAACTATTTATAATCTGAATTAATGTTAATGTCATCATTAACTAATATCAATGCTTTTGTCCCTCTTTAAGTCACTTTATATAAAAGCATCTACTAAATGCATAAATGTAACTAAATGTAATGCTTTAATGTTTACTGATACAACCTCTGATTTTAATATTTATTGCACTTACATGAACAAACATAAATAGAGATGTATAAATGCTGTAAGAAATTTTAACTAACAATGAAAAACTTGCCTAAAACTATTTATAATCTGAATTAATGTTAATTTCATCATTAACTAATATCAATGCTTTTGTCCCTCTTTAATTCACTTTATATAAAAGCATCTACTAAATGCATAAATGTAACTAAATGTAATGCTTTAATGTTTACTGATACAACCTCTGATTTTAATATTTATTGCACTTACATGAACAAACATAAATAGAGATGTATAAATGCTGTAAGAAATTTTTTGGTCATTGATAGTTCATGGGAGCTATTAAATAATAAAATTATTCAGTGTTGCTTCAAATACGTTTCAAAGATATTTAAACGAAGCCAGAAACGCTAGTTAAAATGTTTTTAATGACACAAGTCATTTTAAATACAATGTGCAAAGTTTTGCAATCACAGCTGGCAAATTAACCTGGAAATAAAATAAAATAAATTATAATAAAGTTTTCTCTTAGGGTTTGGTTACAGTCAGTATATATAACTAGCCGTCTATAAAAACAATAGAAGTCAATGAAATGTCTCCATGTAGACAAAGTAAATATGTGTGCAACATTACACAGGATTGTTGTGGTCTTAGACTGTGTGAGACAGCAGACGTTCCCTCAGGATCCTCTCATCAGACACGGGTCACAGTGTTTCAGCTCTGAAAGAGACACACACACACGTTTCCTTGTGCTCATCAGATAAATGCTAATCTGACACCATGCTAATCTCTTTGTCTTCGCAGTGAGGATGAGGCGATTAAAGCGTGTGCTAACAGCTTATTAGCATGTGTTATTAGTTACACTAATCTACTGGAGGCCTTCACGCTCTGAAAAACGCCTCAGATTGCTTGCAGGCGAGGGGAAAATCTGCAGCCATTTTTCTTCTCTCTGCCTTTTGTTTTTACGTGCAGGATTTTCTGCCGCGCTGTAGAAGCGCACAATGTTGTCAGAGGCTGAATTTATGCATGGAGCAAATTCATTTTAATCACGTTCATTCGCGGCGAGAGGGGGCAGATGTTTGAATCGCTTTACCCCTCGGTGCTTCTTGTCATCTGCTATTCGTTTAGCACGATCTCCTCAGACCCATCGGGCCGCTTCTCATCACTGCGGCTTGATTTCTGCTGAAAGTAGCATTCTTTCTGCCGTGTGCCTCACTGTTTTAAACAGCAGGATACCCCTGCAACGATCCCTGTGTATTTAAAGATTCCTGAGTGTGTGAGGCACACAGTGTGTGTGTGTGAGTCAGAGATTAGCGCAGACAGATGGCACAGACTCCAGCTCCGGATTTCAGTAGAGATGTTTCGGATTGAGAAGTTAATCTGTGCTGCTAGAATATCAAACCATCTGTGTTTAATGAGTTACGAGGGTCCAAACTCTGCTAAAGCCCAGTGATTCTTAACAGTCATCAAACTGTATTTTAAGTTGTAAAATACAGTTAATTTATTTAGATCTTTAAAGACTTAAGACTTTTTTTTTTTAGGTTTGACTACAGTTCTTCTGTTTTCTGTTATTAAGTAGTTTTATTTTTATTCATTTTTTTATATATTTTGAATTAGTTTGTATTTTTAAACGTTCCGTTTTGAATTGTATGGGTGAAAATTCAGTTTTGATTTTAGTTAAAGTTTTGTTTAAATATGTCGAAACAATGTTGCCTTGGCTACTAGCTGAAATAAAAGAATTGCATTTTTCTTCAGTTAATGTATATTTTATTTAAAGTAACAAAATTGTTTTTTAATTAGTTTAGTTTTAGTTAACTAACGCACAATCAGCGCAGGTCATTGGGTCACTTTCATCTTTATTTGAGATAAGACTGAATAAAACTGCATCTAAAACAAAAATCATTCATTTGTTTCTAATATGTTTTTACCTTTTTGTGGCTTAATATGAGGCATATTCCTCATGAGTGGGTGTTTTAAAGAATTGGATAAAATTCTGATGGTAAATATTTCTCTAGGGTAAAGAGTTTTGACAGAAATTTTGGTAACACTTTACTTAAAGCCTTTATGTATAATGCATTATAAAGAGTTTTTAAGGGGTATAATGCAATATAATTATTCATAATGTGCGTTGTAATACATTATATCTTGTCGTAAATAACTATTACCAAATTTAAAATGCATAGTGTAACAATGAATTGATAAGAGTTATAAATTATTAACTGTGGTTACAATTCATGAGATTGCACAATGCATCATAATTAATGCATTACAACTACTTTTATAATGCATTATACATAAAGGCTTTAAGTACAGTGTTACGGAAATTTTCTTTAGGATACGTTTGCATGTCTTAAATCACTCATTTGTTTACATCAGTGAGCGTCAGACTATCGTTCTTACTCGTTATGATATGTTGCAACTTCTAACAAAGTTATCAGTCAACTAGTGCGTAAAGTATTATTTACAAGCCAATTTCTCACAGTTGGCACTTGGAAAATGTTAATTTTGGACGTAAGTCCTAGATGAGCATGTGCAACACAGACTCATTTCTGCTTCACACACATATATATATGAACTTGTTTTCCTTCTGTGTTTGTAGGAACGCCATCTCTAAGCAGTTCTGGTACCGTGATGGTGCTGGTTGGTGATGTGAATGATAATATTCCATCATTCAGTTCAATGTCTTTCCACACGACCATTCCTGAAGATGCACCCACCGGAACAGACGTCCTGTTGCTCAACAGCTCAGATGCTGATGTAGGTATAATGCATTATAAAGAGTTATTAAGGGGTATAATGCAATATAATTATTCATAATGTGCGTTGTAATACATTATATCTTGTCGTAAATAACTATTACCAAATTTAAAATGCATAGTGTAACAATGAATTGATAAGAGTTATAAATTATTAACTGTGGTTACAATTCATGAGATTGCACAATGCATCATAATTAATGCATTACAACTACTTTTATAATGCATTATACATAAAGGCTTTAAGTACAGTGTTACGGAAATTTTCTTTAGGATACGTTTGCATGTCTTAAATCACTCATTTGTTTACATCAGTGAGCGTCAGACTATCGTTCTTACTCGTTATGATATGTTGCAACTTCTAACAAAGTTATCAGTCAACTAGTGCGTAAAGTATTATTTACAAGCCAATTTCTCACAGTTGGCACTTGGAAAATGTTAATTTTGGACGTAAGTCCTAGATGAGCATGTGCAACACAGACTCATTTCTGCTTCACACACATATATATATGAACTTGTTTTCCTTCTGTGTTTGTAGGAACGCCATCTCTAAGCAGTTCTGGTACCGTGATGGTGCTGGTTGGTGATGTGAATGATAATATTCCATCATTCAGTTCAATGTCTTTCCACACGACCATTCCTGAAGATGCACCCACCGGAACAGACGTCCTGTTGCTCAACAGCTCAGATGCTGATGTAGGACTCAATGGAGTGATCAGGTACGACACTCTAGACTGAAACCAAAATGTACTATATACTGTATATATACTATAAAATACTCCTGCATGAGCTCATGTGGGGGCAACATGTTCCACTTTCCTAAAAACATGCTAATGAGGATGATAATGAAGTATGACAGACAGACCAGAGCTCAGTGGGGGGTAGCGGGACAGTGAGGGGCTTTAGTTCTTAATTCACAGAACCAGTTTTATGCATTGACATAACATTATAATTCTCACCGAACGTGAACTGGTGTGAGGCGGACAATGCATGACTGTGGAGGATGTTGTTGTTTTTTCACCAGGGTTGTTTTTCACACTTTGTTCTGTAATTTGTGGCATTCCCGTCTCACTCTCTGAAGTTGCCATGTGTGCATGTTACTGTCAGAACGAGTTTGTGTCACGGGCCCCGAAAAGGAACCTCACTGAAACTCAAAGCAGCAAGGGAACGGCTCAAATCGGGTGTTTTTGATCAGGGCTGGTTTACTGATGCACAGCTGAGAAAACAAGCTGCGGGAATTATGAAAGAATTGGAAAGATGAATAAAGAATTAATCTTCCTGCCGCCCATATGATAAGATACTTGATGAATAAACTTCTGAATTCTTGCTTAGGAGGAATTTGAGGAATTTTGGGCAGGTGCCGACACTCTACAGACCGAAATATGTAGCTTTCCTATAGTTTAATGCCAAGGTCATGGGTTTGATTCCAGGCAAAACAAGCACTGATAATATGTGTACCTTGAATACAATGTTAGTCACTTGGGATAAATGTGACCTTGGACCACAAAACCAGTCATAAGGGTCAATTTTTCGAAATTGAGATTTAAACATCAGCTGAATAAATACGTTTTCCATTGATGTAAGGTTTGTTAGGATAGGACAACATTTTTGCCGAGATACAACTATTTGAAAATCTGTAATCTGAGGGTGCCAAAAAATCTAAATATTGAGAAAATCTCCTTTAAAGTTGTTAATTAGTTTAGTTTTAGTTAACTAACGCACAATCAGCGCAGGTCATTGGGTCACTTTCATCTTTATTTGAGATAAGACTGAATAAAACTGCATCTAAAACAAAAATCATTCATTTGTTTCTAATATGTTTTTACCTTTTTGTGGCTTAATATGAGGCATATTCCTCATGAGTGGGTGTTTTAAAGAATTGGATAAAATTCTGATGGTAAATATTTCTCTAGGGTAAAGAGTTTTGACAGAAATTTTGGTAACACTTTACTTAAAGCCTTTATGTATAATGCATTATAAAGAGTTATTAAGGGGTATAATGCAATATAATTATTCATAATGTGCGTTGTAATACATTATATCTTGTCGTAAATAACTATTACCAAATTTAAAATGCATAGTGTAACAATGAATTGATAAGAGTTATAAATTATTAACTGTGGTTACAATTCATGAGATTGCACAATGCATCATAATTAATGCATTACAACTACTTTTATAATGCATTATACATAAAGGCTTTAAGTACAGTGTTACGGAAATTTTCTTTAGGATACGTTTGCATGTCTTAAATCACTCATTTGTTTACATCAGTGAGCGTCAGACTATCGTTCTTACTCGTTATGATATGTTGCAACTTCTAACAAAGTTATCAGTCAACTAGTGCGTAAAGTATTATTTACAAGCCAATTTCTCACAGTTGGCACTTGGAAAATGTTAATTTTGGACGTAAGTCCTAGATGAGCATGTGCAACACAGACTCATTTCTGCTTCACACACATATATATATGAACTTGTTTTCCTTCTGTGTTTGTAGGAACGCCATCTCTAAGCAGTTCTGGTACCGTGATGGTGCTGGTTGGTGATGTGAATGATAATATTCCATCATTCAGTTCAATGTCTTTCCACACGACCATTCCTGAAGATGCACCCACCGGAACAGACGTCCTGTTGCTCAACAGCTCAGATGCTGATGTAGGACTCAATGGAGTGATCAGGTACGACACTCTAGACTGAAACCAAAATGTACTATATACTGTATATATACTATAAAATACTCCTGCATGAGCTCATGTGGGGGCAACATGTTCCACTTTCCTAAAAACATGCTAATGAGGATGATAATGAAGTATGACAGACAGACCAGAGCTCAGTGGGGGGTAGCGGGACAGTGAGGGGCTTTAGTTCTTAATTCACAGAACCAGTTTTATGCATTGACATAACATTATAATTCTCACCGAACGTGAACTGGTGTGAGGCGGACAATGCATGACTGTGGAGGATGTTGTTGTTTTTTCACCAGGGTTGTTTTTCACACTTTGTTCTGTAATTTGTGGCATTCCCGTCTCACTCTCTGAAGTTGCCATGTGTGCATGTTACTGTCAGAACGAGTTTGTGTCACGGGCCCCGAAAAGGAACCTCACTGAAACTCAAAGCAGCAAGGGAACGGCTCAAATCGGGTGTTTTTGATCAGGGCTGGTTTACTGATGCACAGCTGAGAAAACAAGCTGCGGGAATTATGAAAGAATTGGAAAGATGAATAAAGAATTAATCTTCCTGCCGCCCATATGATAAGATACTTGATGAATAAACTTCTGAATTCTTGCTTAGGAGGAATTTGAGGAATTTTGGGCAGGTGCCGACACTCTACAGACCGAAATATGTAGCTTTCCTATAGTTTAATGCCAAGGTCATGGGTTTGATTCCAGGCAAAACAAGCACTGATAATATGTGTACCTTGAATACAATGTTAGTCACTTGGGATAAATGTGACCTTGGACCACAAAACCAGTCATAAGGGTCAATTTTTCGAAATTGAGATTTAAACATCAGCTGAATAAATACGTTTTCCATTGATGTAAGGTTTGTTAGGATAGGACAACATTTTTGCCGAGATACAACTATTTGAAAATCTGTAATCTGAGGGTGCCAAAAAATCTAAATATTGAGAAAATCTCCTTTAAAGTTGTCCAAACTAAGTCCTTAGTAATGCATATACTACTGTAGTACTGTAATGTAGTTACAGTAGGAAAATTATAAAATATTATAAAATATCTTTATTTTAACAAGAACATGATCTTTACTTAATATCCTAATGGTTTTTGGCATTAAAGAAAAATTTATCATTTTGACACATTCAATGTATTGTTGGCTGTTGCTACAAATATACCCGTCTTACTTAAGACTGGTTTTGTGGTCCAAGGTCACAAATGTGTGTGGGTAGTTGACAGATAGCATTGTTTGGTCTCCATGCATAAATTGAACCTGTTGTGTTTGTGATTTACAGTTACAGTCTCAGTGGTGGGGACGGTCAGTTCTCCATCAACCCAGCCACAGGCCTGATCATCACCAGCTCCTTGCTGGATCGAGAGGCACGATCGAGTTACCAGCTGCTGGTGGTGGCATCGGACGGTGGACAGCCCACACCGCTATCCAGCTCTGCCACAGTGTCTGTGGTTGTGGCCGACATCAATGATAACCCTCCACGGTTTCACCATCATCCATATGTCACACACATACCTGCTTCTACTTCCACAGGTGTGTCCTCTATGGCAGGGGTTCATGGTTTCATTGGGTTTTGGTCTGTCTGATTAGTGTCTAATCACTTCTGTTCTGTTTTTTGCAGGCTCGCTGGTCTTTGCAGTCACAGTAACAGATGAAGACTTTGGCTCAAATGCTCAACTTCACTATTCGCTCACTGGACGCAATTCAGAAAAGTTCAGGATAGACCCCATCAGAGGTGCCATCACTGCCAATGAAAAACTCACAGGGAGTTCAGAGGTCACCTTCACGGTCCACGTAAAAGATGGAGGCACCAACCCCAAAACAGACAGCACAACTGTTACGGTTCGCTTCGTTACTGGAGGAGACTTCCCCCATATTAGAATCAAGGAGAAAGCCTTCACCTTCCCAGAAAACCAACCCACAAACACTGTTGTGACTAAGGTGACCGGATCTTCACCCAGGGCGGGTCCTTTGTCGTACTACATTGCAAGCGGAAACCTGGACAATGCATTCCACATAGATCAACTTTCAGGAGAGCTGTCTATCAAAAAGCCTCTGGACTATGAGAATATTGAGAAGTACGTCTTGTGGATAGAGGCTCGAGACCAAGGCTTTCCCCCTTATTCAGCCTATGAGAAAGTAGAGATCGCAGTTCTGGACGTTAACGACAACCATCCTAATTTTGAGCAAGAGCCGTTTCACGCTGAGATTTTAGAAAACCTCTCACCTCAACGTGTGCTGATAGTATCAGCATTTGACCAGGACAGTGGACCAAACGGGCAACTGGAATATGCCATAATTGAAGGCAACAAAGAAAACAGCTTCAGCATCAACAGGGCAACTGGTGAAATCCGCACAACACGACCACTGGATCGAGAGAAGGTCGCACAGTATGCTTTGAGAGTAAAGGCAACAGATAGAGGCAGCCCTCCTAAAAACACGGCAGTGAAGGTCTTGATCAGCGTGTTGGATGTCAATGATAATGCTCCCAGATTCTCCAAAATCTTCAGTGCCACTGTACCTGAAAATGCACCAGTGGGCTTCACTGTTACTCGAGTAACCACCACCGATGAAGACTCAGGAGCTAATGCTATAAGCCGATACTCCATCAGCGACGCAAGTCTTCCCTTCATTATCCACCCCAGCACAGGAGATATCACCATCAGTAGGCCTCTGAACAGAGAGGACACGGACCACTATATTGCCAAAGTCTCAGCACACGATTCAGGATGGACTGTTAGCACAGATGTCACAATATTTGTGACAGATGTGAATGATAACGCTCCGAGATTTAGCAAGCCATCATATTACCTGGACTATCCTGAGCTGACAGAGGTCGGATCCATTGTGACTCAAGTCTCTGCCACAGATCCTGACGAGGGTTTCAATGGTAAAATATTTTACTTTATCCGATCTCAAACAGAGTACTTCCGAATCAACTCCAGCTCTGGTGAGATCTTCGTTAAACAGCAGCTCAGGTATCAAAACTCCAGTGGCCACAGTAATGTCAATGTGAACCGTCATAGTTTCATCGTCACCACTTCAGACCGAGGCATCAAGCCGCTCATGAGCGAAACCACAGTTATCATAAATGTAGTTGACAGCAATGATAACCCACCCACATTTGAATCTTCCTTTTACTTTACCCCTGTCACTAAAAGTGTAAAGGTCGGCACCAGACTCCTCAAAGTCACAGCCCATGATCACAAGGACTTTGGCCTGAACTCTGAAATAGAGTATGCAGTATCTGGAGGAAACAGTTCCAGCAAGTTCCGCTTGGATAAACAAACTGGATCGGTCACAGTAGC